TTTACCCCGCAGATTAAGAAATAATATCATTGATGAAATTCTAGAACCCAGGATTGGTTTGAAACCACCATTTGATTCTTGTTCCATGTTCTTATTTTTGGGAGAAACAGGACTTCAGCAAGAAGGAGATCACTAGTAGTCAGAAAATTAGTGAGAAAGTGGGATCAAAGACTGCTGGGGAGCCATTAGACTGAGCCGTTCAACAAACCCCAGGTATATACAGTACAGCATGTACTGGTCTTATGTATTATTTATCACCTCTCATTAATGTCAATGAAATAAATATTTCTGCTAAGACAAAGTAATACAGCAGTCTCATTCATTATTGCTTTTCAAGCATAGTACAATATATATTGAAGAAGTAAGTACAGTACAAGAGCTATTGTCACAAAGTAGTAAAAAGATTAACATTCATATGATAACATTCATCAAAAATACAAATACTGAAACATGCAAAAAATATAAATACTGAAACATGCAAAACATTTCCAGTGAATAATTAGATGATGGATGTTTCTGTGAGGTATCAACAAACAATAGTTAAAAATCACAGTACTGTAGCAAGATGCAGAATATACTGTGTGTTCCTCATACTATCTGCACATACTGTATGTGACATCCACCTCAAACAAAATGTCGCATTTTGCTGATTTAAGCCAATTCCTTTCTCAAGGTGTCCAGCAATGTCACAGCTTTTGCATTTGTTGACTAGGAACTTGCTCCCTGCCAGCGAGAATTAAACATTTACAGCTAGGAGAAGAAAACAGAAAGAGTCAGTTCTACTGAATGACAGTGGGGGAACTTTTAGCAGCAAAACATCTTCAGGTCACCGAGCAATTCATCTTTCAACACTGCAAATGTTGTTGAGCCCTCACAGGATAATGCTGTGTTGTATCTCTCCAGCTGTGTCGAGTCAGACTGGAAGGAAGATACTAGATTGTGTGCCACATGTGTTCATTTAAAATAATCTTCCAACTAACTTTGCTCACACACAACTGAGAACATTTCCATTGTAAATGAATGACACTTAAGCAAATTAGATTAGTACATGACATGTTTTGAGGTATTGTTCAACAGCTGGTGAAAGAAACACAAAATAAATGCTTTCAAATCAGTAATTTTTTAGTAAAACAAAGTGGAACAACTATAAATAAGTCTTTTGTTTCCATTTTTTTATTTCATGAATTTTCCATAAATTAGATTCACAGCCATACTGGAGTAAGGGATCACTCTGGTGTTTTTAGTGCCGTTCTCAGCTTGCCTTTCACAGTGTTTCACAAAACACAGTGGAAAGATCGAACACCTTGCAGAGCTCAAAAGACACCTCTGTGAGAGACAAAGGGTATACCTGAAACCTGCTAGCTTTCAAAATTGTAACAAAGCGTTAATCAGGACCCTACGCAGACGGAAGAATCCGGAAGGGAGGGAAACAGACACGGGGGGAGAAGACTGGGAACTGGGCTGGTAGCCGAACAGGGGGGCGTATCGATGGTGCGCTGGTGCTTGGGGGGCAAAAGTCCAAAGGGAAATCCAGGGCGAAAGCAAATGTCCAGGACCGGGTGATCCATCCAAAACAAAACAAGACAAAGTTAATTACCATAACGGAATTCGGTGCAGGGACGGGGAATAAAACAGAATCACGAGGTCAGGCGCTCTGAACCCCGGACTCAACTGGGTCAGGACACCTATGGGAGGCCTGTGCCCTCAAGCCGCGGGCGTAGGGCGACTTGGTGGTATTCGGCCCTCTGGGCGGAGCGCCCTTAAGAGGAGGTCATGACAGTCATGACAAAATCATGTCCATCTTGACATGAAGGAAAGATACAGACGTCACTACTGTTATTTTGGACCACATAGTGGAATGTTAGAGATTTAAGAGTCAAAGCTATTCAGAACTGTTTAGCATCAAACAGGTGTTCATGTCCGACTTGTGTCCATCACTGACAGATGAAACTAATCCAATTCCAGGGAACTGGAAGTCATGAGTGAATATTCGGAGTGGAGGCTCTGTGGCTAAGAATCTGTGCCTGTGGCTGGGAGGTTGCCGGTCAAATCCTGCTGCCGGCAGAGGATTCCTACTCTGTTGGACTCCTGAGCAAGGCCCTTAACCCCAACTGCTCCAGGGGTGCCATACAATGGCAGACCCTGCGCTATGACCCCAGGCTCTCTCCCTGTCTGTGTGTCTCATGGAGAGCAAGCTGGGGTATGCGAAAAGATAAATCCTAATGCAAGAAATTGTAAAGGGTTAATTAAGTAATGTTATTACTGTATATGTTCTGAGAAATTTGTAGCTGGAGTTCCCTAATCTTTTCTTTCGTCATTTTTTTTAAAAAGCCCATAACTTCCAGAAGTGGTAAACTACAGAGGGTTGACACAATTCTGCCAGTGAAGAGAGAAGCAAATCATTGTTATTTTTATCCACAGTTACATATTATCAGGTGCTCAACCAAGGAGGAGCGCAACCAAGTTTTCCTTTTGAAACAGGCAGAAACAGCTTCATCACCAGAGTGGGATGGTTTAGGAAAAAAGGCTTTCCACTTTCCTTGTTAATTTTTACTCTTCCACTAGACAGAGCAGATGCTTTCAATAAGAATATTTTAGTAACAGATTTTTTGGCACGGCAGAATGACATACAAGAATTTTCAAAAATGTCAAGACCAGAACTCCAAAATGCCACATTTTCTCTTCTTTTGTGTTCACTAAGTTCGGAGAAAACAGACTTCTTCTAGGGATAACCAAGAAAAGAAAATGTGTGACAACATTTAATTTAATCAGAAAATAATTTACTATCACATTAAGGCCATATTTACACATTCTGATTATGGTTTATTGGTACTGAAAAACATTGTAGCTTAGATATTTAGGTTAGAAGAGAGAAAAAATGGAAATGCAATATTGCTGTTAGTGACACATTCTTTTCTATGTTTAAGAAAGAAATGAAGGATGATTAGAAATTGGTTTGAGATTTTAGTGCATTGTGCTGTACAGTATATGGAGAATAATACTAGCTGGGGTGTTAAAAATGTAACTTAGAGAATTTTAATAATATTATCCTTTATTAGAATGATTTTGTTAGATCTGAAAGTTCATGGTCATTAATTTTCCACATTGGAACTATTAGAAAAACCCTTAAAATTCATAGATATTAACATGCCAGATCCTTACATACAGTATATGGACAAGTGGGCAGAACCATACTGAAGGGTGGTCCCAGTCTTTTCTGGAAGATGGCTTAAACGTATAAATTTAAAAAGGCAGGCTGTTTTGCTTACAATACCAAGTGAAACTGTGCTAACTGTGCTAACTGCGATGTGTATCATTATAGAAACATGCATCAGGCATGAGCCCTGTGTTCCTTGATGAGAAAATATACAATTACAAAATGCCAGGAACTAGATACTTAGTAGACTATTACAGCCTTATTAACTATTTAGAAGCTTTTAGAGTTTAATTTTATTCTTCATAAAGTTGTTTTTAATTAATTTATTAACCAAACTGTCTAAATATGACCTTAATGTGATAGTAAATTATTTTCTGTCATATCAGATGTTATCGAAGTGTCAGCACTCAACACTCAATGGGTTTTAGTCCAGAAAATAATATCCAGTACATAGTTTTTGGGCTGTATGTATGTGTATGTGTGAAGCACAATTATTAGAAAAGGAGTGGGACAAAAAGCATTCACAAAATGGAAGAAGCAAAGGCCTGAAAAAAATCTACTGTTTTATTATTGCTCTTTGGGTCTCCCAGACCAAGAACAGCACCGCAGGGTCAAAGTAATTGTTTAAAAATAGACTCAGGAATAAAACAGTAGTTTAAAGCCTAAAACATTGGTTTGCTCAACGTTTCCTTAATATATCGCTTGTCTGGTTGCGTGTTTGGGTGTCTTTTAAAAGACTTTAAGAGCAACACTACCTTTAAAGAATTTCATAAATCATTCTTGTTTCATGGAAAAACAGCAAAGCTTGCCTTACTACTATTGTTTTGACTATTTTTAATGGAAAAAATAAGAATGGCTACATTCGGTCTTCTACAACACAATTTTAATTATTTCCTTTAGAATTTATGCAAGTAAAAGCCACTGGAATGAGAACTTAACAATAAGAAGTTAATTTTGGTGGTTCGATAACTCGGGCAGGGATATAATTGTAATAACTTGTAATTAATTTATTATTCGGGTGGGTAGCTGCGTCAGCATGCGTAGGCTGCAAAGGAACAAGTAATAGGTTTATTCCATGCTGAAAAAAAAGAAGAAAGAGAACACAACGTTTCGGCCGTGGAGCCTTCTTCAGCCTTCTTCACGTCACCTGAAGAAGGCTCCACGGCCGAAACGTTGTGTTCTCTTTCTTCTTTTTTTTCAGCATGGAATAAACCTATTACTTGTTCCATTAATTTATTATGTCAATTTAGGAATGACATAAATAAATAAAACATTTCTCTATGTAAACTTGTTTTAATTGTAATACATATAGCACCTTCTTAGTTGAAATGATCAGGCGATACACAGTGCGTGTTTAATAATTTTGCTTTGATAATAATTTTGCTTCTTGTTAAAACTTGTTTTGTATGGTCGTTCCGACTTGTGATTGTCCGCTTCTATACTTCTAAATATATAACACTGTAAATTCAATCTAAAAACGTTTTTAAACATGCCTTTGATTTTTTTTTTGCAATACCTCGAATAAAATTGTATTTGTTCGTATGCTGTAGGTGTGCATTACATTGTATTGACAATATATCATTATTTTACGCTATAACATATGTTGATTTTCTCAAATATTTTAGGATTGCTTGACGTAAAACCGCTACAGTATTGTACCATTGAGTATTTTGCATATTTTGTATACAGCGCCTTTCCAAGTTTTCTTATTTTTATATTTTAAATAGATAACACGTGCGTTTTATGCACACATTTGTACAAAAATGGCGCGAGCTTGACCAAGGTATTAAGGAACCTAAATGGACAAGGTTATAAAAAAAATACCACATAGTATCTGTTTCGCGCTATACACTTTTCCCACGCATATTTCCCACGTTGGCACCAGTCTTCAGTGTAACTAGAAATTTCGCGTCATACTTTATGTTGAAGTTTTCCAGAGAGATTTAGCCGTTTTAGTTCTCCGTTCCGTGCTGTCGAGCTTAGAGATACGAAACAATACGAGAGACCTATATGCACCTGGGGGAAGACCTCGTGAAAATTGTACCCCTCAAAATACAATCATGTCCACAATTTCGAAGCCAGACAATCAAGAGGACAGATCTGCAGAATGCAAAGCCATGCGGACTCCGAAATGTGCTCGTTGCAGAAATCACGGCTTCATCGTGCAGCTAAAAGGACACACGGGCAAGTGTCCGTTTTATCACTGCTCTTGTTGGAAATGCTCGCTTATTACAGAAAGGACGAAGATTATGGCATCGCAGAGACGTTTGAAAAAGTTACAAAACGAAGAAGCTTTAGGAAATGCTAACCTAACTTCCGAGAAGGAACCTCTTACCACTACAAAATTCTCCGATTGCTGGACAGGGGTGTTTAAAAGCGGTCGAGAAGGCGCTGGGTCGCGACCCGAGAGTTACCTACAAGGGGAACCCCCTGTCCCCAAGGTGCAGCAGCTGTCTGCCAGGACAGAAAGTGTAATTAAAAAATCGGCAAGGAGACAGGGTTGCGAGAGTTATTGCACCGAGCTAGCGGTGCCTTTCGAGACTAAAAGTGATCATTTGAATGTTCCCAGAATGGCGGCATCCAGTTCTCTTGGAGGCCCTTCGCAGAATTCAGACTTGGAAGCGGCGGGAGACCGTCCCCCCTTAGCTCAGTGGGGAGCTGTGGGCAGAGACGTGAAAGACAACGCCTTCGTTATAGGCAGAAGTAAGTCCTAATGCATTATCGATCGCATTTAGACACTGTATCCCTTTATTGCTTATATACATCATAGCAGCAAAATCCTAAAAACAAAACTAATTTCCTGCTAATGGGAAATTAGTTTCCCAAAGGCAAATTAATCGCCTTTGAGTTATCCATTTTGAAACACGGGTTGAAAATGTGTGAATTCATTTATTATTTCTACTTTGAATCGCTTTATCAAAAATGCAAAACACTGTCTATAAATTGAGTCAAAACAAGCGTGTGCCGTGCTTTCTTGTATAATTGTGCAAATTAAAAAAGTATTAAGTATTAAGTTGTGTTATTATTGACAGATTTGAATACCGTTTTATTGCGCTTCATGGAAACACCCGGTACATGTAGATAGCTCGGACGTCTAATAATGTTGATAGAACTCTGCAGAAGCCTGTTTATGCCAGGAATTCTGCCCCAGAGAGCACAATCCACTCTATAGGTAAAGTAGGTAGCCATCGCACCCTGAAGAAAATTTATTCGGTTACAGATTGTAAATGATATCGTTAAACGCATCGCCTCGAAGTGTGGTTAGCTGGGGAAATGCACGAAACACTTCCTATTAAAAACATTTTCTGAGTAATCACCTTCCATTGACAACAACTTCACAAAACTTAAAACAGACAACTGACATTACATTCGCTGTCTGATCAGATGTTGTTTCCGTCTTCAACGCTTTTGACAGAAAATGCAGGCTGTGCTTTGACAGATGTGCTTCTCATTGATACCTTGACTGCTGTTTTTCAGACCCATCTCATGTGCCGAAGGATTTTGCACTGGCAGAGGTCACCCAGGGCGAAATGGGTACAGGGCAGTTCATGAATGTGCCCATCCCTGTAAAACTGTACACCCAGTATCCCAACGGCTACTCCTGCCAGGCCTTCTTACTTAGCATGCCACCAGCCCCGGGACCGATGGAGAGCCACTCTCTCCATTCTGTTCAGCTTGGCTTCTCCCACTTCCAGCCTAACAGCTCGGTACATTTACCAGAGTCCCCACAGGTAAGGAGACTGCGTTTCTCTGAGCAGAACAGTGAACAGAACAGTTTCTCTGAGCAGAACCGTCATGAGAAAACGACATATCATTTTCTCCAGTTCCAGAATCCCTGACTCAGTAGGCAGTAGGCAATGACTTAAATTAATACCGTAATGTGTTTAGCTGTTTGATGTTAATATTTTGTAGAGTTACTGTACACAGTTTACCGTGTTTTTAGTATGGATACATGCAGCGCCTGTTACTGTATCTGCTCATACCAGTGCAGTCAGGGCCGTCTCAAAGTGGGGGCGAAGGGGGCGGCTGCCCAGTACCCCATGCTTTGGGGGGCCCCCCACCAGCCAACTCCCTCCCCCCCCAACCCAAATCCCGCTTCACGCACGCATAAAAGTATAAAGACATGTTTAAATATTTTAATTGTCATGATCGTCATCCCTCCTCTAGAGGGCGCACCAACCCTTTTTTGTCGTTTAGTTTCATTATCACGTTTGCCTGCCCCTTGTATTGTTTGTTGTTATTTAAACCCAGTGCTCCGGAAAGCTCGGGGCTCTGCATTGGAAGACGGACGCCCGGAGGTCCTCCTAGCATCAAGTCGCCCTACGTCCGCAGCTTGAAGGCATAGGCTTACGAACTACGTCCTGACAAAGCTGAGTCCGGGGCTCGGAGTGCCTGGCCTCGTCCCTCCGTTTTTTAACTTCCTTGTCCCTGATCCTGTTCATGTTTCTATTCATGTCTTGTCTTGGATGGATCACCTGGTTTTGGATTTTGGACTGCGACCTGATTTCCCTTTTGGACTTGTTTGCCTGCGCTCCCCCTTGCACCTGGATCACTGTCGGTACCCCAACCCCCCCGCCCCCGTTCGCCATCCCTTCCATTCCTCTCCGTGTTTTCCCCATAGCCCTTCTCCAGTTACTTCCAGATGATACCGTCTGCACAGGGTCCTAAACTACACACTTCAAGGGAGTCAGGACCGACTCCCATTACTTTAATAAAGCGACACACAAAACGCTAATTTTAACACAAGATGAAATCTAAAGCTAGCGTTAGGGTAGTTGCTTTATCCAGAACTGGAGGCGTGTCCTGCGATAACTACGTCATAGGCCATCAGCTGCCAGCTAAAAGTGATTTCGGCAGAACTAAACTAGCTTGGGAAAAAAAGTTAGCTGGTGGAAAATGGCGAAAATGAAAACTTCAGTGGGTGCAAGAAAAGTTAAAGGAAGCAGAAAAGGGAGGATGCAAATGTGGCATTTAAAGGGTCTTTCCGAAAGGTTCGTTGTAAAAACCAGGAGCGAAGAAAAAATGGACACGGGTAGTGATCTCGACGACGACAAGGGTGCTGGCATTGAGAAACCTGAAGATGCATCCAAAATGGCCATATAAATGGCTGACCCTGCGTTCTGACACCAAGCTTCTTTCTCTGTCTGTGTGTCTAAGTCTCGTGGAGAGCAAGTTGTGGTATGCGAGAAGATAAATTCCTAATACAAGAAATTGTATATGGCTAATACAGTGATCTTGTCTTATGCCGCTAGCATTAGCAACAACGGCGATTAGGAGTTCTGTTAGGTTCTGTATGTCTGTTTGCGCAGGCCAGTTAGGTAGCCATTTCATCACCTGAACGCTGCCCCCCGCCATCGCTACACACAAGTACTCCCCCATGCTGGGCCCTGCGACACCCATTCTACCCTGGGCCCCGCCTACCCCTTGAGACAGACCTGAGTACAGCATCAGCAACACATGCAGCCTCTTGAGCCTCAATTCTCCTTCGTCTTCTAGTGTTATGATGCTTAATTAAGCTTCTAGGGCCTTTAATTGAACCATTCTCTTAATTAGATCTTTTGCTCAGTGCTCACTCCTTGCTGGTCCTTTAAGAATAATTTGCTGTCTGTATCATCAGATGTATCACATAGTAAACATTGTCTGTCCTTGACATGATTCATGAACTGTAGCTCCCCTATAGTTTTCTTAACAACAGCTAATGACTAATTAATGGAATGTCATTGTGTCGGACATCCTGATAATATTCTTGGTTCTGTACGGGCGCTTCTGCTTAATTTCCACCTAGTCGTTGAAACAATAAATCTGAACAAGAGGAGTCCAGAAACCCTGCATAGCAGTACCCGCAGGGTTATTGGTCATTTCTAACCTCACAATACTGTTGAAGAACTTTCAAAAAAAGTTTAAATGCGCAGCTACCTTAATTGTATTCATTAAGCCAAGTCAATTAAATCAAGAGTTCAGTTGGAACAAAAAACCATAAGAGATGGATCTTGTAGGTTTAGGCCTGATATGTTT